CCTGCACCCCATATCCAGCATATTTTAGGATACTTAAAGAGACAAATTATTTAGGTGGGCTTTTCTGGCTGTTATTATTACAGGTATGCAAATGTTATTTCTAAAAAACATTTAGCCCCAGAACCTGTCACATATTTATGCTTTTCAAGTGGGCATCACAAGATTTAAGGCCATCCCTGCATCAACAGATGAAATTTAACCCTGCACTGCACAAACTATGGACAGCCGTATGCCCCACGTCTCCTTCCTTCCAAACATCACACGCAACAACACAAGCAGCCGAGCCGCCCAGCCAGGAATCTGCCCCAAAAGAGGCCCGCAGCCCTTACACGCTCAAGGTCAAAGCAGGACGGCTCTGGCAGCCCATCGCCGAGCTTGTTTCCAGAGGGGAGGAGGTCCCCTGAGGAAGCCCCTCCACCAAGGGCGAAACCAGGCCCGGCCAGCAGCGCCCGTGCCGGTGCCGGGGCGGGGGGAGGAAGGCTCTGCAGCCTCGGAACCCACCCGGGCCCGCTTTCCGCTACGGGAGACGGCACCGGGGAGCCGGAGGGGCAGACCACGGAGCGGCGGTCGGGCGAGCGACAGGTGCCACGGGTTAATTAACGCGGAGCAATTCGGAGGCTAACCGCTCTCCACAGGCTCCTCGGCACCTGCTCCCCGACCGCAGGCCAAGCTCAGGCCCGGCCCGGCCCGGCCCTCGCCCTCCCCAACGGTGCCCGCGGCCCGGCCCGGTGAGGGGAGAAGAGGAGAAGGAGGAGGAGGAGGAGGAGGAGGAGAGGGCCGGCTCGGCTCCAGGGGCGGACCCCGGTCGTCTGCGGCGCCCTCCCCAACACAGGCGCGGCGACGGGGAGGGAGGAGGGGAGCGGCCGCCGGTGGGGCCCGCAGCCTACCCGCGCCGGGAAGAGGAGGAGGAGGAGGAGGAGGAGGAAGGAGAGGAGGGGAGGGGGCGAGCGGCGTTACCTGAGCGACCCGAGCCGGAAGAGCCCGACGGCCACCAGCAGCCCCGCGCCGCCCTGACAGCTCCCGGCATGCACCGC